AAATACCTGCAAACATTAAGCCCTGACCAAGGTGCTGCAAAACATTGATGGTGAGAATTGGGAAAAGCTGAATTGGAAGCAATTTCAGCTGATGTCAGACCCTGAAAGGCAATTTTAGCAGTTTGGGAACTGGAAGTTATCCTAAAAATTTGTACTTTGCAAATCAACAGGTTGGATTTTGAAGGCACTGGACAAATAAAAATTAGAGATGTGAACTCCCCATTCCTGGAGCTGTTCAGGAACAAGCTGGATGGAGCTCTGAGCAACCTGGTCTAGTGGAAGGTTGTCCCTGCTCATGGAATTTTAATCCTTAATATTGAAGATCCTGAAAATGTTCAGCCTCAATACTGAAGAAGAATTTAAAAATCCATCCAAGGCATCTTCTGACAAGATATCTTGGTCTTGCAGAACTATTACAATGAGTAAACTAAAGAAAAGCTTCCCCTTGTAAGTTTTTGCACTTCACAAAGTAACATTTAATGGATTTTAACATAAATTTCTCACAGTTTATTGTCAGTTCCTGTCTTTGATCCCATCTGTTCAAGGCAAAGAGGAAAATGATGCCCCCAAGAATAGGGAAGAAAGGTATAAAGCCAGGATTTGGAAGTTCACCTGCAGTTCCCATTAAACTCACTGCTTCAAATTTAGTCAAATGATGCAGAAATACTGGAAGGAAATCAGCTGCTCTCTTGTGTTCTGACATTTAAATCGAATTTATTGGCAGAGTAGTGGTTTGGGGAGTCAGGTTAATTATTCAGGAGTTCAGAGGAGCTTTGAGAAACAGTTTTTATTCCTTTCTCTCAGCATATTTATTTTTAACCCTCCTTTTTCTCTTCTCTTCTCCTCCTGAGATGAAAATAGAAGGGGAAAGGGTTTTTCTGCTTCAACATCTTTTTGGGACCCACCATTTTCCCACTTTTAGAAGCTGTTTTATCCACTTTTCTGCATAGAAATCTGAGAGAGGTTTTTTAAGAATTCCCTAAAAACACAAAATACTGCCTGTTGCTTTTAAATTAACACTTAATAATAGATATTACCTGTCATAAATTTCTGATCCTTCTTCCAACCCAGGCAGGAGCCCAATGACAAAGGCTTGAAGACCAGGCAGGAGGGACTTTTGGAGAGGAAGAAAATATTTCTCATACAAGCCCAGGAGAACAGGCCTCACTGACATTGCTGCATTTGCCAGCAGAGGAAACAACCCAGAGCTTTAAAAAAAAACCAAACAAAAACACCCAAAAGAAAAGACAAAAATTAGTCAATTAAAATAGACTGTGAAATACTTATGCCTTAGGACAAAAAAAATAATAAAATTACCTGTACAGGAATAAATCCTTGGCAAGCCATTTGGTCCCAATGATCTTAAAGATGATTTCATAGGTTTCCAAGGCCTTTAAATGCACTCCACTGGGAAGGGCTGGATGCAAACACTGGGATAATCTTTTACTGATGATCAGCCTTCTTGGTAGGAGAGAATATTTGAGGTTACTCTGAAGAGCCTGTGGGAGAAAGGAGGTGAGAATAAATGGTTGTAATGTAAAAATATGACGTGTAGGATGACTGCAGGTCAAAGGTTTCCTATTAGCATGGGGAAAAGCTAAATCCATTCAAGAGTTTTCTCTCATAAATTAATTTTGTTGCACTGAAACAGCAGAATTTGAGTTTTCATGTGGAAGCAGCCATGAACAATCAGTAAGTTTAATCACCACTCTCACTGCCCTGATGTGCAAGTAAAAGATCCTCAGGGCAGGGAATGGTTCACAAAGTGCTGCAGACAGGCCAGGTTTCCAGGGAAAAAATAAAATCTCCTTTCTTTGGAAAGGTTACTCCTTTCCTAGAGCCACCAGGGCATGTCAGCAGGGTAAAGAAGTTGTCCCTTTAATCCAGAGACAACCAAAGAGAGAAGTTGAAGGTCAGTGGCCCTGTCTGCAAACACAAAGAGATGGAAGTTTGGGATGCTTTCAGGCAAATCCTTGGCTCTCCCCAAGGTTGAATCATGGTCTTATCCTCCCTAATTGTTTTCAGCTTGAGAAAATGTTTTGGAAAACCAGCAGAGAGGGGAACTAACCCTGGAAAAAAACCCAAACCAGGTCAGTGATGACCTCAAAGTCACTTGAATGCTGAACACTCGGCAGCAGGAAGAGGAGGAGATAAAACCCATCACCTTCCAGCAAAACCAGCTGTTAAAAAAGAGCTTCTGGTAATAAAATTGACTCAACAACAGTAAATAGAAATATCTCCCCATCCTGGTTCACACACAGATGCCACTGGGAGCCAATTCATTTCCTTCCCTCCCTCCCCTGGATGAGCAGATTTTAATGGGTAATAAAAATTAGAATCCAAGAATCCAGCAGTGCTTGCCAC